GTACTATGCATGTTGTTGCTAGGCTGCGTTGTCAAGATAAGTTGGAGCTAGTAACGCCAGTACTAGTTTTGTACTTCTGATCCGCCTGTGCCCAAGATCCACTTCCAGTCCCCTCAGAGCTTTTACGATGACAAGGTCCTGAAAGCTACATTGAGGCAAAAGTGAAATTGCATCTTTGTCTGTCTGTTCAGGGTGCATGACACACACTGCAGCTGCAGAGAAAGCTAAGATAAGAGGCCTCAAGCCAGGGGGGGAATTATTAAAAAACAATAATGCTGGATTATTTGTGTGCACTGTTTAACTGCCTCCTGTCTATCCGGTCATTCATGGCAGTTAAAACGAGGTATTAAAGGTACGCAGTTGGTGATGAAGGAGAAATAGGGTTGGCTATATATTCAGTTGGGGATGAGAGTTTGATGGATGGGTGGGTGGATGTAGATAAGGGAGCAGGAGGGATGGATGGATGCAGCCTGAAGAGAGAGGAGAGGAGAGGGTGATGTAGACGACCCATAATCCTTGGAGGCTGACTGCACACTGGGTCCTCTGTGATCAAAGTCTGCGTGTGTGTGTGTGTGTGTGTGTGCGTGGGTGTGTGTGTGTGTGTACCAATCTGACAGTGATAGAGATCTGCCTATCAAAGTGATGCAGGAAAGGAATGGAGTTATGGGAAAGGGAAAAGAAAGAGGGGGAAGAAAACACGAGTGGAAAAGAGAGGAGAGAAAGAGATGAGGCCAGTAAAGCCATTAGACATTAAATCAATCAGTCGAAAGGAAGTATAGAGTGAAAAGCAGAGAGTAAGATCTTAAAGAAAGACACAGGAAGACGGGGAAGGATAAAGAAGGAATCCTCAGATGACGGCAATATTGATGACAGCGCAGTGGGGAAGAGAGGCTGAACGGATGCGAGATCAAAGCACACCGGGCGCCGAGAGGGGAGGAGCAACGGGAGGGGTGAGATGGGAAGAGTTAGGACGAGGAGGGGCAAGGATGAATGAGGAGGGGTAACGGAAGCACAGAGGGAGGCAGGAGGAGGGTAAGAAGAAGAAGAGTGGAGGAGCAGGGTGGTTAGCTCTTCTCGATGTAGAGACGGGCGGGAAAGAGTGTTACAGCGACCACTAGAGGGGCAGACTGACGTGATACAAATGTATATTTAAGTGGAACATGGCCAACAATTCCCTCTCTTCTCCTCAGTACACACATGCATAGTCACACTCGAAGCTAATGTATACCCCCCCCTGTACTGTGAGTCAGCACATGTTCAGCCTCCACAGTTGAAAACAGAACACGGCATGAACAGTACAGGCCTCCATTACCTATAGGTTTACCACCTATGCTCCTTTATCTTCTGGTCGACGAAATACTTCACTTGCACTATGTTTGTCTACGTGCCTCCTAAGTGAGAAGGTATTATTATGAAGTTTTGCGAATAGAGTTTTATTTTGGAAATGTTTGCATATGCATATATGGCAACATAGGTGATGTTGTATTTTTCACTACGTTGTTGGGTGTTGATGTTGAGTATAAAGTATTTAATTATGAAGTTCACATCACATGAGATTGTTTTAACAAAGGATAGCGTGTGGATTTAAGGGGGTTTAATAGCGGAAATAGAATGATATTAATCTGTATGTTTTCTTTCGTGTCTATAATTCCTTTGTTTTTGTTCATTCATCAAGATTTAGGCTCATTTTTTAGATAATTAACTCGTATACAAATCTGTACAATGATTGGATGCATGGATAGCCAGATTAAATAAATAGTTTGAATCCTAACAAGAACAACATCGCTTTGCAGTAACTTGATGTGCTAATTGGGAGAATTTAGGCTCATCCTTTGACTCAAAAAGGTTTTTCAGCAAATATCATTCACCTCATAATCAGTCTTGAAGTAATTTTAAAATCGTTATCGTTTATTTTGTGCTTATTTTAAAGCAAACTCCATCGTACAATTTGATGTGGCTTCAGTGACCTCAGCACTCCCTAGTTGTTAGCCATAGATTAATTGAAAAAGCGTATTGGATTTCAAAATATCAAAATGAGAGGATCATTTGTTTGATTTTAAAAGAAGCAGCTGTACGTTCAAATCAAAAACAATATAAAACACTTTTGACTGCTGCATGCTTTTATTTGCTTTGCGGTTGTTTAAAAAGAAAAAGGAAGTCACCAGAAAATGGCCAACAGAGGTGCACAGTAATATTTCACACCGTCACACAGACGTCATGATTAATGCAGCAGGCGTTAAACACAAGTAGCCGACACATCATGGAAAGTTGACTGGTTCCATGTCATGTCTGATGCACACACATTGAACAGAAGGTTATGTGGACTTCTCCCCCCCCGCCCTGTGAGCACTCAACACATGTCACTTTTTATTAGAGCAGCTGCTTCTGAAGCGTTAGATGACACAATCAGTGAGGATACTAATTGCGTCACGTGTCATCAAAGTTTTCCTTGCTCCTTGCACGGCTTTCAGGTTTTCTTTATATCTACATCGGTTTTCAAGGTGGCTCATTTTTAAAGGAAAGCGGACATTCTTTGGTGCTATGGGTCACCACACCAAGCCAGAGTAAATGCTACAGTATCATGATACAGAGATACGCTGCAAACTAGCTTAGCAATCTTTTTCATTTCACAAGTTAATTTCTTTTTTTTTTTTTAAGAGACACTCATTAGTGGACCATGAGCCCCTTTCACCTGTCTGTCAAGTGTGACCGACACATCAATAAGCTGCAGGGCTGAAAGAGGGGTGTGCGGGGACGTGCGTGCGTGCGTGCGTGTGTGTGTGTGTGTGTGTGTGTGCATGCATAGCGGTGTGTGTCCACCTGTGTTTGCAGACGTCCTTTGGATAAACCTGTCACAGGTCTCATCCAGCAAGCAGCTCTCTCTCTCTGCAGACACCCACACAGACACTAGTCCATCGTTGGCCTCAGCAGAGCTTGGTTCAGGGTGTTGGGTCATTTACACAAATCTCCAGTCGAGCTGTGGAATGAATGTCTGTCTGTATGACTGAATGGTCCGTCCGTCTGTATAACTGCCCATCTGTCGGACTGACTCAGCAACCTCTATGAAACTGTTTGAATGATGATAGTTTGATGAATCGTTCGATGATATGTTCAGGTGATCAGCACGTGTAGCTCGGGACGACGCACGTCTTGTTGCAAGCTTGTGTCAACGCATTTTGACACAATCATGAAACATCTATCGTTCCCAACTTCACGCTCTGACCTTTTAAAGAAAAAAAATGTCAAACTGCTATTTTAATTTGATCGTGTTTATTGTTTCCAATATGAAATAGTTTAGACAAACTCTTCCTGTTTCAATCTGGCCATATATGATTTGTTTGTCTAGTTGTTTTGGTCTCTGTTCTTTCTCTCTCCGCTCAGTGCACTCTGTTCTGTCTGATTCCTTCCCATAACAACTCTTATGTGTTTCTATTCATGTCCTTTCTATTGCTTATTGTGTGTGTCTTGATCTCAGACCACAGTTATTCTCCTTACCCCTCCTGTGGGTGGAGTCTGGCTTGGTCTCCACCTTAAGTGTCCTGTCATCTGTGCATGGATTCTCCTAGGCAGCATTGCCTGCGCCTGAGGGATGTGCATGTGTACCTGACAGCGCCTTTCCACACTTTTATGAGGGTTCTGTCTAACTATCTTATCAGTGGGTTCAGTTTGAGGGCAACACACGTGGAGTCGCTTGTACTTCTCTACATGCTGATGATATCAGCAAAGTGAAGCATTCTACAGTAATATAAATCATGCGTTGTCCCAAATTGCCCCCACTGGTGTTTATAGGAAAATATGTCTGCTGTATGAGTGTGTTACATACAGTATTGCTTCTTTTATGTATAACTATAAATTCCACAGGTATAATTTATACCTTTTTTTTAACGGTTGGACTTGTACGCTCTCAGAAAAAAGCTTCAACATTGTATCCTCATCACTGGGGCTTTGGGTGCTTGGCTGGGCTCACTTGGCTTTGCATAAAGACAGGCATTGCCTTCTTTCAGATTATTTCTTTTTGTCAAGAGTTTGGGTACAAAAACATTTACCGATTCATTTTGAAAATGTGGTTTGAGCACAGCCCTCGTCGGTATCTTGCCAAACATCCAAAGTCCCAGTGAAGCAACGAGGTCCAATGTGGTATGTTTTTTGTCTCTGTGAGTATGTCTGTATAAATTATATGTGTATAATTTATGCCGTGTGCACAGCGCAATCCATGTGTCTTTATCTGTTATACAGTAATCAGTGCTACTATTAATTCTGAATAATATCAATGAGATGAGATCGACATTTAGAGAAAATCAGGCAAATCTATAATCACGTCTGGTCTTTATGTTTTGAAACTAATTGAAAGTCAAGTCATTTGGTGACAGTTAACCAGCGAATTGGGAAACAGCTGAATCTAAAGTTCCTCGGTGGTGATTGGAGGAGACGAGAGCGGAGATCTGTGATGGGACAACTTATCTTGTTATTGGAGGAGAGTGGGACAGAAACTGCAGCCTAACCCCTAAAACACCTGGAGCTGACAGTCCAGAAAATGAGGACTGCGTGTGTTTTAGCAAACATATCCTATTTTATTCAGATCTAATTCACATCAAAAGCATGATGTAAGAATTCCATATTTTCACAATATGGTGTCCAAATATGACTTGACTGTTTGGGTTGTGAGAAAGTCATCCATTTCTAACATTCAAGCCACAAAATAACAGTTAGTGTGGCCAATACAGATTGTACCTGTAACATACTAAAATTAAGGTAATCAAGATAACTCAAATCATAGAGGGAGAGAGGTGAGGAGTTTGGGCAGGCTGACATGTTATCTACTTGAGAAATAATATTATTGAGAATTTGGTAATGAACTAAATTGGTACCTTTGGTAATTGATGAGCCCCATCTCATAAAGCTATCCAAAATCAAGAAATTTTATCAAAAAGTCCGCCCCTCAGTCCCTCCTCCTCTCCCTAACCCAGGTTTTCTATTTGTCACTCTGATTTGATTGACAGCTGAGGACACATGTGGGGGCACTGTGAGGGGCGGCAGTGGGGTGGTGACCAGTCCCGGTTACCCCGGCAGCTATGGTAACCAGGCCGACTGTACTTGGATCCTTTTGGCCGAACCTGGAGACACCATCTCTGTCATCTTTACAGACTTCCAGACAGAGGAGAAGTATGACTACCTGGAAGTGGAGGGGTCAGAACCACCGACCATTTGGTGAGTCACTTTATCAATTCATTCATTAATTTATACGTGCGTATGTGCCAGTCATAATCTCTGTGTGGCAGAATTTTCCATTCGTCCGTGTCCGTGCTGTATTTTATGTTTGGGAACAATTTTCTAAATTGCAGTGTTGCAGTGAGTCACGTTTCGGGGTTGAACTGCAGATGGGAACATGTTTCCGTGGGGCATGATTCTTTTTGGAACATCCATTATTTCATGGCACAAACGTAGGTAGATTACAGCTTGCAGAGCATCACGGGGCCCACAGTCTTAAACACGGTAAACAGTATAATAGAGGTGCAACAAAGCTACACTCTAATTAGTGTGGTGGAGGCGTATGTGAACGTCTGAAAAAAATAAAATAATTTGGTTGGTCTCTGACCTGGCATTTCTGCAAAACAGTGTAGTCACGTAGCAGCTATGTTCATGCAACAATTTGCCCACACTTGGAGTTGAGTGATAAGAAGCAACAAAGAAAATTTAGAACTCGTGTAAGAACAGATAATAGAGTCATAAAGTTATTCCAAATGTAAAGTACAATTTATATCTCCTGAGGTTTAGTCGTTTTTCCATGGATGAAAAAGTAATAAAACGTAGGGCGGGGCTTACATTGCTGTTGCTGTAACCAGTTTGATCCGTACCCTGGTCGTGGTCATGTCTGCGCGTGTAAATGCTTTGGAAGTGAGAGGGGCGAGGCAACTGCTTTATTATTTGTCTTGATGTGTGTCTGTACAGGTGTACAACTCCCATGTTTGCTCATGTGTGCGTACAGTATATGTGTGCATGTATCTGTATGCGTGTGTATACTTCCTATCATGTTACAAGAACCTCAATTCTTCCCTCATCTCGCTTCTTGGTTTGGATTATAAATAAGTGAAGACTATCGCCCGGGGCCGTGCTGTTGGCCTTTGGGCGATAATGTGCTGGTGAATAGTGTGTAATGTTGTCGGTGCCGTGGCTCATGTCAACTATTGCTGTGTAATTATTTACTTCCTGAATTGACTCTGGACTCTCGTACAGCACTTTATTCTCATATCATGGGTATTTTCCAGTAGCCAAAGGCTGATAATATGGCTGTAGATTTGAACTGAGTGGAGAGAGCAGCGACATTCAGACATACAGCCTGGAGCAAACATTTTGACTTATGTTGGGAATAACTAAAGATTGTAGAATAACCCTGACCGAAATAATAAATACATGAATGTATGCACAGTAGTATGCAAGGGTCAAATTGCAGAGCACACAAGTCTGAATGCGATTCATCGTAATAAAAACCCATGGACCATGGACTCATGGTTCCTCCCCTGTAAAACATGAAGATGAAACAATACTTGCATATTATCTGAACACCCTAATCTCACCTAGTTAAAACTATTCTGTATCCCTATGGGTCAGATTTTCATATAATCTGCCTGATCCCATGGATGGTTTCTCCTGGTAAATGATGCCGGGTGCTGGAGTTGTTGTAATTATCAAAAGAAGGTGTTCTTGACAAGGCTGCACTGGACTCTTTTGCATCGTTTGAGTATACCTGCGCGTTGTTGCTTAATAGGGGCATCCCTCCATGGCTGCACTATGCCTTTTCTTTTCTGGGAGACACTTCTATATCAGAAAGCATGCATCATCTCTGCCAGCATAAGTACAAGGACTCTGACCTACAAAGTCCTGCAATCTCAACAGAGTACAGCACCTCTGGAAGTAGGTTGAACGGCTTAACCGCAGAACAATTGTGCTGCAGAATGTGTCCGTGCCGTACATGAATGTGTGCTGGAAAAATCAGCAGGGTCTTTGCGACATATCGAGTTAACGTGGAACGAGTTCTAAAGATCTAAAGATGTCCGTCTGTTTTAGGGGCATAAAGGTCACCAGCCTCTGGCTGTGTGGAAGGGGATACTGAGGGTGTAATCTGTTAGTGCCTTCTTTATTTGTCAGGGTTGCGGGTGGAAGGCAGGACTCAAATGCAGACTTCTCCAAACAAAACACTTTAATAGTCAAAAAGGTCAAAAACACAGGAACCGGGGGCAAAAACACACAAGCATGAACCTACGGGGGCGAAAGACAAGAACAGGACATGCGTGGCAAAAGACAATGACGCGACAAGTGACACAGGAGACACACGGCTTAAATACACAAGGGAGGTGCAGGTGATTGGACACAGGTGGAAACTATTAGACAATCACAGGGGACAACGGGACAAGGCAGGAAGTGAAGTTACCCGGGGACACAAGTGGCAGAAAACTACAAAATATAACATGAAGTGAACCACACCGTGACAGTACCCCTCCCTTAAGGGCCGACTTCCAGGCGGCTCACACTAGAGCGAAACAAGGGGTGGGGGGGAGGGAAACCAGAGACAATGGTCGGGCCACCCAGGAAACTCTGGCGGGCGGCCCGGCGGGCGGCCAGGCGACCGGGGAGCCTCTGGGGGTCGGCCTGGCGGATAGGCACACTGCCGGGGAGCCTCCGGTGGTCGGCCCGGCGGACGGTCATTTGGCCGGCTCCGGAACGTCTCTGGCATGGCAGGCTCGGGGACACGGGAACCCTCCGGGGGGGTCGGCGGCGGCTCGAGTTCGGGGACACTGAACACGTCAGCAGTAGTCGGCGGCCGCTCCAGCTCGGGGACACGGAACACGTCAGCAGTAGTCGGCGGCCGCTCCAGCTCGGGGACACGGAACACGTCCGCAGCAGTCGGCGGCGGCTCCAGCTCGGGGACACGGAACACGTCCGCAGTCGTCGTCGGCTCGGGGACACGGAACACGTCCGCAGTCGTCGTCGGCTCGGGGACACGGAACACCTCCGCAGTCGTCGTCGGCTCGGGGACACGGAACACCTCCGCAGTCGTCGTCGGCTCGGGGACACGGAACACCTCCGCAGTCGGCGGCTCAGCCCCCCCCATAACCCACCCCATAGCCCCCCCCTTAAGGGCCGGATCCCAGACGGCCCTCAAATTACCAACGGGAGGGCGGGAGGGAGGGAATCTGAGTCTCGGAGCGGGGACTGGGGGCGTCGGGGCCATGATTCTCGGAGCGGGGACTGGGGGCGTCGGGGCCATGATTCTCGGAGCGGGGACTGGGGGCGTCGGGGCCATGATTCTCGGAGCGGGGACTGGGGGCGTCGGGGCCATGATTCTCGGAGCGGGGACTGGGGGCGTCGGGGCCATGATTCTCGGAGCGGGGACTGGGGGCGTCGGGGCCATGATTCTCGGAGCGGGGACTGGGGGCGTCGGGGCCATGATTCTCGGAGCGTGGACTGGGGGCGTCGGGGCCATGATTCTCGGAGCGTGGACTGGCCGAGTCGGGGTCGGGGCCGAGAGTCTCGGAGCGGGGACTGGCCGAGTCGGGGTCGGAGGACAGAGTCGGGGAACGGGAGAGCGCTGCGGCGGCCCAGCGGGAACGGGAGAGCGCTTCTTCCGCTTGCTCCTCCTTGGGTTAAGGAGGTCCCGGAGCTCGAGGCAGGCGAGCTGATAGCTCCTGGGACCAAAAACAAAATTCGTTTTCCGCTGCCAGAAGGGACTTCTTACGTCCAAGTAGTCCGGGCCGTAGTCTGGCAGCGGGTCTGCTGAGTCCCTTGGTCGCGTCATTCTGTCAGGGTTGGGGGTGGAAGGCAGGACTCAAATGCAGACTTCTCCAAACAAAACACTTTAATAGTCAAAAAGGTCAAAAACACAGTAACCGGGGGCAAAAGCACATAGGCAAAAAACTACAGAGATCCAGGACGAAAGACAAGAACAAGCGTGGCAAAAGACAATGACGCGACCAGTGACACAGGAGACACACGGCTTAAATACACAAGGAGGTGCAGGTGATTGGACACAGGTGGAAACTATTAGACAATCACAGGGGACAACGGGACAAGGCAGGAAGTGAAGTTACCCGGGGACACAAGTGGCAGAAAACTACAAAATATAACATGAAGTGAACCACACCGTGACATTATTTGTACATTCACAGCATGTGAATGGTAGTAACAAATGCCTAAATAGATATCAGTGGTATTTTTTATATTCTTTATATGAGGTTGATCATTACAGCATGATTTATCAAATTTCCAGTTTCTTCCTGTTTCTATACCCTACTAATTAATGTAACTCGGGCAAATGCTGCATAGAAACAACTAACACTTGATGAAATGTCTTAAAATGAGAAAAAAATGCCACAGGTTTTCTGTTATATACTTTTGTAAAAAAAAGAATAGTTGTAGACATGTGGGTGTTTTTTTTTTTTGATGCTACGCAAACCAGCTGTACATTTGATACATTTAAACAATTTCATTAAACTTGTGTAGGTGTATTATCCAGGACAGACTGGCGGACTGCGGTCCGAATCCAGACCCAGAAACCGTCCCACCTGGACCCGACTCAAAAAAGAAGACGGTTGTGATTTAAACGCAGTTTTCGACCGTCGCAGCTTTGGTCGTCTTTACGGTAGTGACTTAAAGCACCGACCAATTGCATTCGAGTTAAACCATCCCACGTGATACTACTCGACCAATTGAGTCGTTGCCTTCCATGCAGGATGACGATATTGTCTCAATACTGCGCACAGACGAGAGAAGTAGCGGCAAATTACAAAGAAAAAGACTGTAGGAAGAAAAAGAAAGTTAGCGAAATTTGAGAAGAAATGGCGCTCTGCGTTGGACAGCGAAAGTAGATCCATAACGGACGGACTCGTTTCTGTTTATATTTCCCACTGCAGCACTAAACCAGTGTCTCATGTGTGTATATACACATGAGACAATTGCTATAATGTGTTGTGTGATTTATTATTTATAATTTGCTGAGACTGCCAAGTCCAAATGTGTAGCAGAAAAGGGGAAATTCAAGCTTATCTTCCCGTTGTTTTATTTTTTCTGAATTTAAGCACTTTATCTGAACAGATTTGAACTTTTTTTTTGTTTTTAATGCAGCCCTACTTTTATTAATTGAGAGAACATTATTTATATTTGCAGTCACACAATAAATATTGTCAAAACAGTTTCAGAATTGATTACATGCA